TGAACCGTCTGAGCATTTCTTATTTCAGTGGTGCAGAGTTTACCGTATTCGAACCAAGTTGTGCTTTTCGGAGGCACTGCTGTACCGTTCGGAGCATCAACTTCTTCCAGTGTTCATCTGCTCTCTTTCCACAACACCTCCAATTCGATCGTTTCCACGCTACTACCTGTGGAAGGGGAGAAACTAGCTACTTACGGGCACGTGAGTTCCTAGGCATTTTCTTACGCATCGCATGGCAGCATCGTTTATTTTTACGGTTACTTCTTGTTCTTATACAAAATAATGTCATGATTGTTTACGTAAACTTTCGGTATTATTCAACTATTACCACCCGAGAACCCGATTTTTTTTCTGCTGAAACTTGCCTATTAACGTAATTTGATGAATATCACATTAGTTTCTGGCGCTGGCTCTGTTTGGCGCCGTTGCTACCCGTTTGGCGCCACCACCTTTTTCACCAAAATCGGTGTGAGTAGGTGCTGGTTTGATTCATTGTCCTGGTCAAGAACATTTCATTTTAGCACCAAATCGCCGACCGCTTGCTTCAGGCAACGGCAGCGCATGCTGTTTCAACTCATATAGCGGTTCCATGCCAAGGGGTGTGCTAGCGCAGTTACGGAAACAAGGCCGTCCACGTAGTATCCTTCATGGTGGCCTGGGATTGTGATTCTTCTCTTTGTAGAATAGATGATTTCGAAGCTCTTGCATCAAATTCTTTATTGGTGAGCTTTCGGCGATAACGCCGTCATCAGACCTTCAAATTACAATACATTACCGGCCTACAGCTACAACATACATCAACATTAGCATTAAAACCTACCAAGGGTGGGAGGGGTGGAGGGGTGAACCTGCCGGTGCGGCGCGTGCGGTATAAATGGGGAAGGAACTGCTCAGCAGCTCTAAGACACTAGGGTCCTCTAATGTCACATTTATCACGCAATGAGTCTTAGGAGGTCACGTAGCTCCTCCCTTGCGTTGATTTCCGGCTTAATGCGGTGGACCAAATTCTTCTCTTTGCTAAAGCTCAGCTCCAGCAGAGGGAGGGATCACTTTCTCGAGGGAATGGTGCAGATGCAGAAAAGCTCAGCGGGCTGCGCTGTCACGTGTGTCCCCTGACGCAATGGACATCCCATGCAGAAGTGATATTCGTGTTCAGGAGGTCAAACTACCCCAGGGGACAATTTTCAGCGAATCCGGTGACATAGGGTATGTTGGCGCCGGTGTCTGTAGCGTGGGCGCTGGTACAGAGGTTGGTATACTTGTTCATGTTTACGGGGTTGAACTACCCTTGGAAACATATTGTCAACCTATTCTGCCCTCGTAGAAAAAGAAGTCGATAAAAAACTGGCCCAATTCCGGGAGAGTGGGTAGTGATAGTTGAATAGTGCCAAACTTTCTACCTCGAGGTCTTCATGTGTTTTTTGTTACGATATATCTTTGTTTAGTCGCAATCACTTCCGCAGTCTCTAGTTCCCCTAGTTCGTTGTGTTCCCCTCATGCTGAATAAATTAAGGCTATGTTGCGCGGTTCGGATCCATGTACCTTCTATGTGATCGGTGGCACCACAGGACACAATTTTTTCCTAGACGTTGACAAATTAACTTTCGAAGATGGCAAATGGAGATGGACAAGTGAAGCACAAGCGGTACGTTCCATCATATTCTTTACCGTTTACAGAAAAGCATATTTTCCATGCTTCTCTCTGAATAGAAAGCTCCCTGTTCGAAAACTCCTTATTCTACATATTAAGACCCCGAACATGGAAGGACGCTACCGCCTTGAAGCGGTTCTACATGATGACCTAATCTTCCTTTTCGGTGGTGGTCGTCCTGATTACGTCACTGAACTTCGCACGGTACGTTTCTTCTTTAGTAATCAGGAAGCGTTCAGCATTTCCGTTCATGTGTTGGGTTTTAGATTACGCTGTTCATGTGGGTTTTTAGATTACGGTATTTGATACCAAGAAAAAAGTGTTCGTGGACTTACCAACTCTTCCCGATGAAAGTGCAGGCAATGGGAATTGGGAAGATGGATACCCCAAAGGGAGAAGGTGAGGGAAATCTTGCATATAAAAGAAGTTTTACGCTTCATGTTGAATAACAGTCCACGTTGTAAGCAATCAAGTTATAAGGTATTCTGCCAGAGGGGTTGGTAGGTGAAAGACTTTATTGAATCTAAGGCTAAATATAGACGCAAATTCAATAAAGTTCATGTTGTGTTTCTACAGGTGTCATTCGGTGACGAAATGGAAGAGAAAGGCCATTCTCATCGGCGGTTGCAGCGCTGATAAAGACGACGATGATGTTAGACACGTACGTCATTCTCGATGTTGACATTTCCACTTGTCCTCATTTTCATTAGAATTTGTAGGTGGACATGTACAGCGATGTGTGGTCGTTCGACTTGGACACCCATCAGTGGAAGAAAATGCCATTTGAGCTGGCTACCCCAGTGTTCTTCCACGATGCAGCAATTACGAAGGTGCAAACTTATATGACTGCTACTGTGCATAACTACACTAACCTACTAGTTTCAGGAAGGATGTCTCTTGGTCTGGGGCGGAGTACGTGACATCTACAGTTCGCATCGAACAAATATCGGCCAATATTGTTACCTGGAACCTCCTTCTCTGAAAACTTTGGCTGCCCTTTCACTACGACCGTACATATACTACAAGGTGAAAATCTAACATAGAATGCATTTGCTTATTGGTAGTACCAACATCTCCAAGAAAAAACTTCTGGGCACCTAGACGATCACCTGTATGCAGGCGTTTCTCACATTTCCGTCCACAGTCGACTAAGTGCGCGTCCTACTTTGTAAGAGAAGAGACGGCGATTTTAGATAGTGCGCGGTGAGTCAGTGGAGGTATCGATATGGCCACTGCGGAGGTTGAGTGATTCGGCGATCTCGCAATTCTCGACAATCGCCAGATCGATTTCACGTCGCGTCGCGCAATCTCTCATAGCCAACTCTTCCGAATCGCTGAATTTCAAAGATCGCCTTTCATCTTCGCAAAGTATGAACGCGGCTTAGGGAGTCTCACTCTTCTGAGAGTGGAGAGAATAGAGTGGAGTGGAGAGAATGGCGCTCCCATCCCATCCCCCCCCCCCCCAAGCTTCCCGCCCTTACACAACCACTGCGTTGTGGTGCGATATTTACCGGCGCCTTTTGTGCTGGATGCAGCCTTAGCCCAGAAATTATGGCACCATCACCCAGTTAATCGATTTCAGCCGACACTAGGCTAGTAGAGTTGTAGGACCGAAAAATAAACAAGTTCAATTCAAAAGGTAAATACTAAATTTGGAATTACAGTGTTGCACAGTGCGCTGTGCAAGCTGCATGCCCTAGCTTGGAACCAGTAGATAGGAAAACTTGCCCAGCGCCGTCAAACTAGTGCGATGTTAGGGCGGGGATGCTTTTGACGTTTTTTTTTCTGGCTGTTGTCTTCTTGGTGATGTCACTAGCACCTGTATTTTTGTATTGACCGTCATACCCGTCTTCATGCCCTCCTACAACGTTCCTCTAAAATCGCTTGTAACATCATGTTTTCAATTTAAGACCATCGAGGAAGCTAACAACTTGCGATTTTCGTGTGTGATGGATGTCGTGCGAGGTATATGCAGTAACCAGCGTTCCAATAGTTCGTCGCCAACAATCAGTGAAGCTTCTACGAATTGATACTTCGATTCCTAGGTACCTCGTTACATCTGTTCTGTGGTTTGTGAGTCAAGTATTCAATCCAGCCTAAGAAATCTAATTCTAAATATTTCATAAACTGAATTTCCAAATCATGCTCCTGTGAGCAAAACGTTATTTCGTAATTTGGTTATTGGCACAATCAAAAATAAGGATGTTAATTGTGCTAGATATTACTAATTAAACCCACCCGTTTCGATTCACGTTCTCTTACACTGCAGGGTCAAATTCTCCAGGTCTAACACTGAATTACGTTGTATACTTGACTATTTTGTCGAAAATTCTATCGGTACCGATTGTGAGATTCCCATATCTAGTCTTTGTAGTTTCCACATGTGATCCTTACAAGTAGAGCGCTCAATCATAATTATTCTTCATGGTATTTGATTCGTATTGGTTCGCTTATGAACGATGTAGAACATGCACCTTCCATGGTAGCCAGATACTCAATTAAAGCAACGTTTCGGGTATCTATGTGCTGCACCTTTTAGGAAACAATAAATCTTAGTGAAGTCATGTGCTCTGTTTATCTTCATGTTCTAATACACTCATACTTGTACATACGTTACTATATGATTTTCATTTGGAATTGGACATTTTTCAAACTGTAACGGACACCTTTCGAATCAAAACGGGCACATCTGGCAGTTGACTAACTAGACCACACTCCATCCCCAACAGCACAACCCACTTTTCAACGCGGTCACGGTTTTCCAAAATGTATGATGTTGTAAATGAGTTCTGCTCTTTTGATTTTTTTTTGCACTTTTGATGCTTCACACATACACCAGCTGGAAAGGATTGCTGCAAGTACGACTCCGCTCACTTTTTTTAATGACGTTATGGCAAGCTTTGAATTTATTTAACTTTTATCGACTTTGTTCTTTTCACATTCATTCTTCACAAGAACGAATGTACATGCAGATATTCGTACTCTGGTACGCTAGCCACGCCCCGTTAACAGGCCCAGTTTTGCGCCTCTCGTTGAAATTTTAGTCTCTTCTTTATTTTCGCATTTGTAGGCTGCAACGGGCAGGAGGTAGTGCAGTGACAAGTGGCGCTCTTACCACTGCGCGGTTCTGGGCTTAAGTCCCGGGTCGACTCCCGCCCAGGCCAACCAAGGCCTTACCTTGGGGACGGTAAATTGGTACCAGATTCGTCTGGGAGGATAAAACACTGACTTGTACATCGGCTGGCCACCGCAAGTCATTGTATAGGCCACATCGCATTCAATAAGCCACTACGATTCTGAATGGAAGTAGAATGCGTGCCGCATCCCACAAAGGGATTGATCAACGGCGAAGACTTTATCCTTTATCCTTTATTAGGCTGCAACAGGTAGCTCAGCCCACCATTAACAGCTCTGTCCATCTCCGCCCTTTTTTTCAAAATAATCAAGGTCGACAGGCTAGAGTTCATTCTGGCAGTTTATGGTCTGTCGCTTAAACCGGGGAAGAAAAATCAGGCAAAGTTTGTTCTGGGTAATGGGTGAGACCTGCCAAACCAGGCTCAGCCTGGCAAGCTGAGTCATTATTCAAAAGTGGGCGGAGCATTTGCGAAATGAGCTGGGTTTCTGACAGGAAGCGAAGCCGCATGTCACAATCTACAAAAGCGGAAAGATGAGCTTGAGTGGGAAACGCATTTCTTAGTGTGCCGCTGTATCGATGCGTAACTGTTGCTTTGTGAGTGAAAAGAACGACGAAAATAAAAGCCATGAAATTTCAAATTTGCAATATCTTGCCGAAATTGGGCGAGGTCTTGCCTGTGTCCATATATTAATCGCTTTCAGCTAGTGTGTCTGTGAAATAGCAAAAAAAAAACAGAACTTCACAGGAGCAGAATTCGTAAAATTTTTATGGGAAACCATGACCGCGCTAAAAACTAGGCGGCGGTGTTGGGGACGGAACTTACAGTGGGTCTAGTAATCAACTGCTCGATCTAAGGGGGTTTGTCCGATTTGATTAGAAAAGGGTACGTGATGGTTTGAAAAGTGTCCAGTTTGGTTCGAAAAGTGTATAGTTTGAAGTGAAAATGGTAAATATGACTCTCCAGGCACGTTTATTCCAACTTATGGCACTGTCATTACTTTCGCAAAATAGATGTACATTTGGCGGTTGTCAGCTATATTTCTCCAGTACGGACGATTTAATTGCCCACATAGAATTTACTCATATCCGTAAGTTGGAGCGCTAAAGACTGTATTCAGGTCATTTAGTGTGTAATATTTTCAGCACCATTAGAAGACGAATATCGCCAGAAAGCTGGACAACCTCAAGGTGGTACCGAGGAGAATCGTGCGTCAGCTACTCCGAATATGCCCCTTAGCTGCGTTTACAGGTTAACGCTAAGATCTCTGCTTCCTTTTGTTTTGAAAAATGGAAGGCTTTAGGCTATTTCGACCAGCGTACAACCCCGTGCCATGTGAACCGGACATTGTTCGGATAACTTTCAATCATTATCGGAAGCGACCCACTGAATGTATTGCTTGTTATTTCGCTCGTGCTTGTTTAGTTAGCATAGTTTGAATTTTCAGCAAGCAGCTCGTCGAACGTGCAGAGCATTGCAGCATCTTTGAAAAAAGGTACGGTGCAAATGATTACGCGTACTTTTTTTATTCTGTGCTTCGGAAAGAAATGAAAACCTAGGCTCAATCAGGTGGGAGCACTGAACACTTCCCTATAGGACCAGTGCCTCACCTTGTCAGATCAGAGCGCCACCCGTTCCAGGTGCAATACTTGATATGTGCACTTGGTGCAGTACTATACCTGCAATTTTTGAGACATTTTGAAATCAAAATGTTGGGCAGAGGGATAGCAACAGAAAAAATTGGTGGAAGATCCATTTACATGAAACCATGAGAATAACTTTTTTGGCTGCGTTTATACTTTGCGGCAGCGTAGCGTAGCGCTTCCAGCGTACGCCAGCGGCAGTGCCGAAGAGAGGATGCATATCGATCTAGCTTCACCAGCGTCACCAGCGGCACGCTGGCGTACGCCAGCGGCACGCTAGCGCACGCTGGCGTAGCGAGGGCACGGGAAGCATAGCTATCGATCTAGCTTCACCAGCGTTTCTCCAGCGTTTTCCCAGCGCTTGCAGCGACGGGGCTAGAGAGGGGCTAGAGAGCACTGGACGGAGGAGAGTACAAAGTACTCTCCTCCGTACGACTTGCGCAATAGAGTTACCCTGGTAATCATTGAAACAACGAGAAAAATGGCCATCTCCAATTTCAATGGGTTTTCCACCGCCTTATGGTGAGCGTTTGGCCACCGCATCAGTGATAGATACAATCTTCTTAGTTTATCTTTTTTTTTCTTCCAGCAAGCTATAAGAGTGTATCATAGCATTCGCATCAGTCTTTTCCGTCTGTTGTTATCGCTTAGTCACTCCAACAATTAGTTGAGAGCGGGCTGACGGCGCGCCAAACCCGGCCTCACTGACACGCCCCTTCATTCGCAGCGAACAGTTATCGTTTTGTGCAACAGGGCTGTGATATGCAATGTGTCTTGTTCCAGAAGAGCCAATCAGTGGTGATAGCGTCGTGGAAGATTTGAGTGAATGTGGCGTCAAGTAAGTTATGCGTGATTGCAATTTTGAATTGAAGAAATGTGTCTAAAATCCGATCTTTGTAGTGATCTGGAAGAAAGATTCCGTTGCCACGTTGCTGAATGTGGGAAGCGTTTTAGATCAGGCTCTGGACTGAGGTACGTTTTAGGGGAGCAGTGACTACTTTTACTACACCATGCAGTTACCCGGACTGCTTTGCTATCTCGGGAACCTTTCTATTACACTCTTTTAATTTCCTCTACGTTGGTTTAAGGCTCCATTCTCGTACTGCGCATGGAGTTATTCTGAAGGATAGTGCACTCAGCAGTCATTCAAGCGTATCTGGAAGTCGCCCTTCTTCGCACAATGGACACCCTCCTCCTACTGCTAGCCCTACCAAATATGCTGCGTATGTTTTTTTAGTTTAAATATTGTACAATGAACAGACAAAGTCAATGCAAGTTACGCAGTAAATGTCCCGTGGGCTCGTGCCAATCTACTCCCGTGATATTGGTGATCAAATCCTAAATTTTTGAAGTGGGAATGGTGTGGTGACAAGTGAAACGCTTACCGCGCATCCGGTCCGAGAGTCAAGTCCCGGCTCGGCTCCCGGCCAACCAAGCCTTATATTCTCTGGGACGATAAATTAGAACCAATCCATATGGAAGGATAAGAGCGCTGACTTGCGATTCGGGTGACCCCGCAATTCATTGTAGAGGCCAATACAATTATGAATGGAAGTAACATGCGTGCCGCATCCCAAATAGGCTTGATC